CCATTGTTGCATGATTCTAAGGGATGAAATTCAAGTGTGATGTAATTGTAAGCAGCAGCAGTCCATCTTTGACTTTGCTCATTCTATTAGCTATTATGATCTGTTTTAGCATAGAGCTAGTATAACACTGTGAATATTAGTGTATTTCCTAAGAGTATAGATAATGAAAATTAGAATGGTTATATGCCAAATCCAGAATGTTCCACACATCACTGGAAAAGGTTATTATTATATGTGGAAATCTATATAACATTATTTTATATGTTAGTATATAAGACATGTTATATCAGATGGATGATATAAAATGACATAAAATTGAATTAGATAGATAACCAAAATAAAGCATACTATACAATATGCAGAAAAGAATTTGGGATTTGGCATCATTATGAGTTGAATTATGCCCCCTCAAAAATTCATACATTGAACTGACTTTATTTGGAAATAGAGTTAATGGAGACTTGATTAGCTAAGTTAATATTGGAGTTAATATACTGTAACTGATGTCCTTATAAAAGGGGGGAATTTAGACCTAGACATGTATTTAGCGAGAAAGTCATGTGAAGTGTAGAGTTAGGCTATCAAAGCTAAGGAATTGCAAGAAGCCCTGGAATAGATCTTTCCCTAGCACCTTTAAAGGCCCTGTTGACACTTGATCTTGGATTTCTACTTCCAGAACTGTGAGACAATACATTTCTGTTTAAGCCATCCAGTTTATTTTTGTTATGATATTCTGAGCAAACTAATACAGGCATAGTAGGGGAATCAGAAAAGCACCTAAGGAGGGCTGAGATTGTGGTTCAGTGGTAGAGTGCTCGCCTAGCATGTACGAAGCCCTAGGTTTGATCCTCAGCACCACATAAAAATAAATAAAATGAAGATATTGTGTCTAACTACAACCAATATATATATATAGTTACATATATAGTTTTTTTTTAAAGCACCTAAGGAGACAGTATCTCACAAGTCTAGGATGCAGTAGACAAGTACTTCTAAATCAATCTGAACTTTAGTCATCTTCAAAAAAAATAGTTGAAAATAACAGGCATTGAATGAGCTTGGACAATACCACATAAATATACATGTGTTATTTTGTTGTTCCCTTGATTGCTGAATGAAAATAAATAAAGTTACATTTTACTAATTCATAGGTTGCAATTAAAACATTCTATAGGCAAAAAGGGTGGAGGGTTGATGAGATGTGTTGACCTTTTCTAATATAGAGCTGATTCTATCAGATCTTATCAGTGGCCATACTTTCTAATACTCTTTATCAGTTGTTGCATCAAATCACAGCAACAAAAACATGCTCCCCTAGCTCTTAGGCACTTTGATTTAGAAAATGGAGTTTCAAATCAAAGTGTTGATTTCTATAAGGATTTTAAAGAAGCTAAAGAAAATATGAAGCAAAGTTGATGATAGGTTCAGATACAAATTAGATTTTGCTCATCTGCCTGCCTATTCAGCAGATAGTGCAAATGGAAATACAATGGCATTTTCTTTCTAAAGAAAATAAAAAGATATTGCCTGCTAAATGCCTTTGCACATAACACTGCTAAGAATAGATGTGACTTGCTTACTGATATTGAGGCTTTCATAATGATAGTTTTTGGTCACTTTTAAATTTCCTCCAAATTTGCAGTTATTTTTTAGTTAGTGGAAACAGGAGAGGAAGAATATCCTCTGAAGACACGTGCCTACAAAATAGGTGTCACTGTTGCCAGCAACAAAAAGAAATTATATGTTAGTGTGTTGTAAAATCATATTTTCAGAGTTGTGGCCAAAAGAGTATCCTTTATTTGGAAATAAGTTGAGAATGAGAATGCAGAAAAATAGAGAGTAAAACAGACATTTATAAACATCAGTTTCCAAAACTAGTGATATTTGAGGAGGCCCTAAGGAATTTAGAAAAGGGTAAGCTGTCTACACCTAAGTTATTTGATGATGTTATGTGTTATCAAAACTCATATGGTGAAACACTCAGTTTTTAGAAGTGAGACAGCTTCAAAACTAAAACAAATAAGGTAAGAAAGGGATAATGCATTGAACTGGACTTACAATTTGGAATCCATCCAGTATGCTTTGGAGTGTATAAAAGTGGTAAATGTTTTAGATAGAAATGGTGAAAATGATGAATTTATGTATGCAAAGAGACTTATTAACAGTTGGTCTACCAAAGAAAGCCTGGAGATAGAGAGTGGATAGACATTTCTGAAGAGGTGGAAAATTACTTTTTATAATTTTAAAAGCTTGCTGTTGCTAGAAGTAAAATCTTAAGTATTCTATGCTCAGACATCTTCACTGGGAGAATATTTAGCTTGAGCTCACCATATTGGACAAACACCAGGAATTGGTATAATGTGGGCTGAAGAGCAGAGCTGTAAGTCAAAGTGAATTTTATGTTTGATCTGAATTGTCTTAGTTGAATACAAGGAAAGATGGATGTCCTAAAGGCTGTGGGCAATTCAGAGATTACGTTGTTTTTGTTTTGTTTTTAATTCAGGATGGATAGATAATAACTTCAGTTAGCCCTATGTTTACATTTAAAAAAACATGTTACATATTCTTTTTTTTAAGTATATAGTACTATAACCTACTAACATTAAAGTTATACTTTAACTACTCAGTTATATCCAACTGAGTTAAATGAATAAAAACATAAATACTGTTAAATTTTTTTCAAAAGTTTTTGTCTTATATGAGTGTTATTGCCATTAATTGCCACTGTTAACTGTTCACCATATTCTGTTTAAGGTAATAAACCTGGATATACTACTTTCTCATACTTACTTGTTTTGGAATTGCTATAACTTTCCTGGTTGACTCTCCAAGGTTGGTTGCCCTCCTGTGCATACAGGGTTCACCTGGTCTGTTACTTTTTGTCTCTTTGGCCATCCTTCCTCCCTTCTTACTCATCATCCATTCCAGTATCATTAAAGAGAATGAATTTAACATTATAAAAAGTTGTTAGCTAAAAAAACAAATAACACAATCAATAAATGGGCTAAGGAAAAGAGCAGATACTTCATAGGAGAAGATATACAATTGGTCAACAAATATATGAAAAAATATTCAACATCTCTAGCAATTAGAGAAATGTAAGTCAAAACTAAGATTTTATCTCACGCCAGTCAGTATGGCAATTATCAAGAATTCAAGCAACAATAAGTGCCGGCGAGGATGTGGGGAAAAAGATGAACTGATTCATTGCTGGTGGGATTGCAAAATGGTGCAACCACTTTGGAAAGCAGTATAGAGATTCCTTAGAAAAACTTGGAATGGAACCCTCATTTGACCCAGCTATCCCACTCCTTGGTCTATACCCAAAGGACTTAAAATCAGCATACTACAGTGATGCAGCCATCTTAATGTTTATAGCAGCTCAACTCACAATAGCTAAATTGGAACCCACCTAGATGCCCTTCAATGGATGAATAGATAAAGAAACTGAGGGATATTGGGGCTGGAGTTGTGGCTCAGTGGTAGAGCGCTCACCTAGCACGTGTGAGGCCCTGGGTTCGATCCTCAGCACCACATAAAAATAAATAAAGATATTGTGTTCAACTAAAAAATAATAATAAAAAAGAAACTGTGGGATATATACACAACAGAATATTACTCAGCCATAAAAAAGAATGAAATTATAGGATTTACAGGTAAATGGATAGAGTTGGAGAATATTGTGCTAAGCAAAGTAAGCCAATCCCAAAAAACCAAAGGCCAAATGCTTTCTCTGATAAGTGATCCATAATGGGGGGTGGCAAGGGAAGACCGCAGGAACTTGGATTGGGCAGAAGGGGGTGTGTGTGTCTGGGTGTGGGGAGAAAGATGGTGGAATAAGACAGACATCATTATCTTATGTTACGGGTATAAGTGCAAAGTGTGACTCCACATCATATACAACCAGAGAAATGAAAAGTTGTGCTCCATTTCTATAAAAAATTAAATAAAAAAGTCGTTGACCTTTGAAAAGTTAATTTAGCTTTGAATTTTAAATTTCTAAAATAATTTCGATTAATAGATACTAAAAATCTTCAAATAAAAAGTTCACTTAATATTTTAATTCTTCATGTTGTTCCTATTTAATATGGTATATCCAGTAGAAAAATAGTTTCCCAAGTTGTGTGTGTGTATCTAATGTATTAGGGTAGGTAGGATTTGGGGTTTTTTTTGAGATGTAATTATAATTATGATTTAATTTAAAGAAATGGAGTGACTCCATTTACCTAATTTTTAATTAGGTAATTTTTAAAGCACATTAGATAAAATTCTTGGAACGTATACTTTTGGTTTACTTTTGAATGTTTATTAACTCTACTGTACTTTTCATGTTATTAACTTGGTAGAATGTACTCAATATTATGTTTAAATTTAGAAAGGTCCCCAAGGTATGTGTTTTACCTTGAGGATCTTTTGACTGATGGTGTATTTTTTAGGTCGATTATGATAGACAAGACTTGACATGTTGTTATATTTGACAAATATGTATCTACTCACAAACTTAAATATGTTTATTTAGTATAATTGTGCTTTTAGGATTTTTAAGAGGTACTTCTGCTTAATAATGGATATAAAAATGAGTTCCTATTAGATACTTAAGTGCTGTTAAAATTCCTCACCTTCTGAAATTTCATACTACTTTGTGATCATTCTTTCTTCAGTAGTTCAAGGATGCTGTCATAAAGGTTAAATACAGAGTTCATTGGTTAAGCATTCAGCATGAGAAAACTGCTTGAAACCTGTTTTCATAAATGAACATTAAATGCATAAGTAAACTTAAGCATACTGTATACTGTCTTTTAAAAATATTGTTGAATTCTAAGGACATTTCTAAATTCTTGTGAGGAAAACCAGTTAAGTAGTAAAAGGTAGAAAACTTCTTGGTCTGTTTCCATACTGATATGTAATGCGCAGAAGCTGTTGAGTATTTCTAAAGTATTTGGACATTTTGATAAGCATGTTATCCCTGACATTGTATTTTATATTTATCATCTAGAAAGATGGAGTGCTGGTATATGTTGCGAATTTCCGCCTGCTTGCAGAGCTTTCCAGCCCTTTCGTAAATCAGCGGTAGGTTACACTATCATTAATTATTTAAAAGTTGTGCTGCTTATTTTTAGTTTAAAAAAACTTTTTCCTCAAGATGCAAAACCTACCATATAAAAAATGAGAAGATGTGGTATGAGTTATTGTCACCATTGTCCACATGAGGAAAATGAGCCTTGGAAAGGTTCAGTTGGTTAACTTATCCAAGGTTCCCCTGCTGGTAAGTGGTGGTAGTAGTTTTTGAACCCAGCTTTCTTTGCACTAGACTGTGCTTTATGCCTGGTTCCAGGGAATTCATTCTTTTACCCTTCATGATGTACACTGCACAGTGAACTGTATTCACTGCATCTTAGAATTCAGTGGAGATTCTTCATGGCATCATTCTGGCTCATCTTAGGTTCAGTTTATATTCCTGACACTAGCACCCTTTCTGTCCCCAAATTGTGATATCAACACTATCTTTGACTCTCATTAAAAAAACAACTTTTTAATTTTCACTTTTCAAAAGATATTTAAAAGGCTAGTTTTATTTCATATATGGACTCAGCATAAGTAACTAACAATGTATAATATTGATAGCTATTGCTAGAGAATGTTTTTAACCATTCTAATCATTTTTTTATGGGGATGCCAGGGATTGAACTCAGGGGCACTTGATCACTGAGCCACATCCCCCTCCCTATTTTGTATTTTATTTAGAGATAGGGTCTCAATGAGTTGCTTAGAGCCTTGCTTTTGCTGAGGCTGGCTTTGAACTTGTGATCCTTCTGCCTCAGCCTCCTGAGCTGCTGGATTACAGGCATATGCCACTACTCCTGGCTGTCCTAACCATTTTCAAAAATACAGTTCAGTAGTGTTAAGTATACTCAATAGTATTAAATATGTTGTTGTGTAACAGATCTCTAGGTCTTTTATCTTGAAAAATCTAGATTATATTCATTAAACACTAGTTCCCCCTCCCCAAAACTACTTTAGAATTCCATTTTAATGGTCCATAGAGTGTTTGTCCTTTTGTGACTGGTTTATTTAGCTTAGCATATTGTCCTCAATATTCATCATGTTGTAGCATGTGATAGGATTTCCTTTTTTAAAGCCAAACCTATTCTTTTGTATCTATATGCTACATTTGCTTTATCTGCTCATCCTTCCATGGACATTTAAATTGCTTGCCCCTCTTGGCTATTGTAAATAATGCTGCACTGCACATGGGTATGTAGATAAATCTTTGAGATCCTGTTCTGAATCCTTTTGGACATATATTCATAAGTAGGGTTGCTGAATTATATAGTAGTTTCATTTTTAGTTTTTTAGGGAATTTCCACACTGTTTTCCAGAGTAGGTACATTTTTTTTATTCCTAGCAACAGTGCACAAAGGTTCCAGTTTCTTCATGTCCTCCCCAACACTTGTTATTTTCTATCATTTTGCTAGCTTCCATTTTAATGGACGTGAAGCATTATCTCGTTGTGGTTTTGATTTGCATTTTTCTGTGATTCGTAATATTGAGTATTGTATTGTTCAGGTTTTCATCACTGTGACCAAAATACCTGACAAGAACAACTTAGAGGAAGAATAGTTTATTTTGGTTCATGGTTTCAGAGGTTCAGTCCATGGTCAGCCGACTTCATTGCTCTGAGTCCAAGATGAGACAGAACAACACCATGGCACAAGTGTGGCAGAGGAAAGCTGGTCCGCCCCTGACTTGACAGGAATCAGGGGGAGAAAGGAAGAGGCTGCAGGGAAGGTGTGTCCCCAGAGACACACCTCCTCCAACTATGCCCACCTACCTACAGTTACCAAATTCAAATGTGGTTATTACACTCAAATTAGGATGGAGTGATTAGCTTACAGCTCTCAGTCATTTCAGCTCTGAGTTATCCCTGCATTATCACAGAAGCTTTTGGGGGATACCTCATTTCCAAAAACAAGTATCTGCATATACTTATTGGCCATTTGTGTTTCTTCTTTGAAAAATTATTTATTCAAATTCAAAATTATTTATTCAAATAAAATTATTTATTTGCCCATTTGTTAATTGGGTTGTTTGGATTTTTATTTTTAAATTATCAGATATATGATTTATAAGTATATTATTGCATTCATAGATTGGTTTTTCATTCTGATGATTGTTCCCTTTCGTGTGCAGAAATTTTTAGGGTTGTTGTAGTTCTATTTTTCTGGTTTTATATTTTGTTGCCTGTGCTTTTGGTGTCATATCAAGAAATCATTGCCAAATCTAATGCCCTGAAGCTTTTCCTTATATTTTCTTCTAGGAGTTTTATAATTTGATCTTAAATTTCAGTCTTCAATCCATTTTGAGTTAAAATTTATAAGTAATATAAGGTAAGGGTTCATTTTTTTGTATGTGGATGTTTGGTGTGCCCAGCACCATGTGTTGAAGAGACGGTCCTTTCTCCATTGCATAGTCTCAGTATCCTTATCATTGGTCACTTGGCCAGATATGGAAGAGATTACTTCTGATCTCTCTATTCTGTTCCATTGGTGTGTGTGCAAATCAGTCTAATCTTTGGGCACATAATGTCTTTCCATTAATTTAGACCTATGATTTCTTTTAACATGTCTTATAGTTTTAAGTATACACATCTTTACCCCTTTGACTAAATTTATTCATGAGTATCTTATCTTTTTTGATGTTATTGTAAATGAGTGCTTTTTAAAATTTTTGTTAAAATTGATTATTTAAAAATTTTTAGATTTATAGACAAATTGCAAAGATAGATCAGAACTCACACATACTCCTTGCCTAGTTTTCTCAAGGTTAACATTTATATAACCATAAAACATTTGTCAAAACTAAGAACCTAGCGCTGATATGTTACTGTTAAGTAAATTCCAGACCTTTTAGGCCTCATCAGTCGTTCTATTAATGCCCTCCGTCTGCTCTAGGGTCCATACCAGAGTGCCACACTGCATTTTGTTGTCTCCTCAATCTGGGGAAATGTCCTCACAATCTCTTCTGATCTGTAACAGTTTCTTAGTCTTTTCTTATTTTTCTTGCTCTTGACTCCTTGTTATGGAGTACTGGCAAGTTTTCTCACAGAATGTTCCCCAATCTGAGTTCTTTGGGTGCTTAGCTCATGAATAGACACAACTTACAGGACTTCAGAAATACCCCCACAGAGGTGAAGGACTCTTCTTGTCATTCCTTATCAGGGGTTCTTTATAACTCCATGATATCACTGGAGATATTGACCTTTAACACTTGGTTGAGGTGGTGTTTTTTGCCAGATTCCTCCATTATAGACTGCTGGCCCCCCATATTCTGTTCTTGAAAGCATGACTTGAAGTATAACCTACCCTCAAGGCACTGAAAGAGGGAGGGAGTTGTTCATTTTTGACATTGGCTTTATTGTTATCCTCTACCATGCTTCTCATTTAACAATGTCTGGTAGTTCTTTTTTTGTGAATTGTTTGGCTGTCCCTCTTTCCATGTCCATGGTCCCTGTTTAGGCCTTCAGGATTTGCACTGCTTCCATCACTTCAGAGCTTTCTTACTGAATTGCCTAATTCCAGGTTCTTCCTCTCTCAACCTTCTCCTCACACTGCTACCAGAGTCATCTTTCCTAGTTCCACTTTCAATACCTATTTTCTGACTACAAATCACATCCTGTTTATTCTGCTCGCTTTGGCTTTGGAAGTTCTCTGTGATGTGCTCTGTTTCCAGCCACATTTCTTAGTACTCAGACGAAGTTTTATAGTCTGTCTACTACTTGAGGGTTGTTTTCATGTTTCTTCCTTTGTTTCTCCCATATCTTTCATTTTCCCCCAATTGTTTTGGGGGTACTGGGTATTGAACCCAGAGGAACTTTACTAATAAGCTACACCCGTAACCCTTTCTATTTTTTATTTTGAGACAGGGTCTCACTAAGTTTGTAAGGCTGGTCTCAAACTTGTAATCCTCTTGTCTCAGCCTCCCAAGCATTCCTCCCCCCAAACTTAAAAAAATTACCCACCCTTCAAATTCTAAACCCCCAATCCCCAAACCAAAGGAAAGGCTTTTATGATTATATGTTGTCTTTGTATCATAGTCACATGTTTTATATTATTAGGTTTTATAATAGATTCAGCATGTCTAAAATAATGCCACATATCTCTCCCTGTGTCTCATGATTGACATCTGGCCCTCTTCCCAGTTGCTCCTGTTCAACATGTGGGAATCATCCTGTTTCTTCCTCATCTGTTCTGTCACTATGTTTCTTACCTCTGCCACCTCTTTTCCATCTCTACTGTTGGTGCCCTAGTTCATCACCACCTTGCCCACATTGCCTTACCTGCTTCTAACTCTGCACTGTCCAGCAGAGTCACCATGAGCTACAATATATGTAAAGTAGCCCTTCTCTGAAATGCTCGGGACCACAGGTGTTTCAGATTTCAGACTTTTTAGGATTTTGGAATACTTGCATATGCACATAATGTGCACATGTGCACATCTTGGGGAAGACACTCAAGTCTGAACATGACATTCATTTATGTTTCATATACACTCTATACACAGAGCCTACAGAGAATTTATATAATATTTGTAGTATACCTGCATTTTGACTATTACCCATCACATGGGTGACATGTGGAATTTCCCACTTATATCACTGTGTCAATTCTCAAAAAGTTTCAGATTTAGGGTTTTTATGATTAGGATGTTCAACCTATATGACTGTTTATATTTAAATTAATTAAAACTTAAAAATCAGTTCCTTAGTCTGACTTCATAGCCCCATGTGGTCCAAGGCTACTGAATTGAGCAGCATATCAAAAGGAGCATTTTCATTGTTGTGAAAATTTCCTTTGAACGGTGCTACTCTAGACTAGCTTGGAAAACTATGCCTTGTGAGCTAACCCTACTGCTGTTTTGTAAATAAAGTTTTGCTGGTACACATCTATGTTCCTTTGTTTACTATGACTGCTTTCTTCTGAGGACAGCAAGGCTTCGTAGTGGTGACAGAAAATGTATGGTCTCCAGAGGCAGTGACATTTATGTCACTTTCTGACTCTTTTACAAAAGGTTTGCTGATGTCTGCTCTAGACCATACACCTGCCTCCAGTCTTGTCCCCCTTTCTTCTCTCGTTGATATTATTATTGTCTACAGTGAAGATAATATGCAGCTCTCCTTGTTGAAACCCCTCAGTGGCTCCTGCTGCTTACAGAATATAGTATGAGTCTTTAACATCACACAGAAAGCTCTCCAAGAGGAGCTGTCTTACCTCTTTCTGGCACATTTTCCCAAAAATCTGATGTCATGCCAACTTTTCCATTTCCTGTCAAGGGCCTCCTGTCATCTTAGTCATTCTTCAGCACTCAACCCAGAGATCATTTTTATCACTAATCCCCATCTCTTTCTAGGCTGGGTTGAGTACCTCTCACTTGTGCTTCAAATAAAAGCAACATTTATTTACTAAGTTTTGATTAGTTGGAAAAATATGAATGTAATTGCTGGATGGGGCTATAAACCATCTTCTAAAGAGGCTACAATTTTGCATTCCCACCAGCAATCAATGAGTATCCTGTTGGTCTACATCCTCATTAGCACTTGTTTTTTTTTGTTGTTGTTGTTGTTGTTTTAACCATTTTATGGCTATATAGTAGCATCTCATTTTATTTGTATTTTCCTAATACAATGCTGACTGTTGTTTGTTTGTGTTTTGTTTTGAGTTACAGTCTCACTGTGTTGCCCAGGTTAGTCTTAAACTCCCTGAGCTCAGATGATCCTCTCACCGCAGTGTCTCAAATAGCTGGGACTATGGATGTGAGCTACTATACCCGACATTAAGCATCTTTTCATGTGCTTGTTTCCCTTCTTCTCTAAAAAGATGTTTAAGATCTTTTGCCTTAGTTTTAGTTGGATATTTTGCATATTGGTGAGTCATTGTATATGTTGAATTCTTTTTTATGTAATTCATTTTATTTTTTTAAATACACAACGGTGGAATGCATTACAATTCTTATTACTTATATAGAGCACAGTTTTTCATATCTTTATATATAAAGTATGTTCACGCCAGTTCATGTCTTTATACATGTACTTTTTTTGCATTACAATTCTTATTACACATATATATGTACCACAATTTTTCATATCTCTGTTTGTATAAAAAGTAGCTTGACACCCAATTCATGTCTTCATACATATACTTTGGATAATGATATCCATCACATTCCACCATTCTTGCTAATCCCCTGCCTCCTCCCTTTCCCTTCTACCCCTCTGCCCTATCTAGAATTCATCTATTCCTCCCATGCTCCCGCTCCCTACCCCACTATTAGTCAGCTTCCTTATATCAGAGAAAACATTCAGCATTTGTTTTTTTGAGGTTGGCTAACTTCACTTAGCATTATCTTCTCCAGTGCCATCCATTTACCTGCAAATGCCATGATTTTATTCTCTTTTATTGCTGAGTAAAATTCTATTGTATATATATGCCACATATTTTTTATCCATTCATCCACTGAAGGGCATTTAGGTTGGTTCCACAGTTTAACTATTGTAAATTGTGCTGCTATAAACATTGATGTGGCTGTGTCCCTGTAGTATGCTGTTTTTAAGTTCTTTAGGTGTAGACTGAGGAGAGGGATAGCTGGGTCAAATGGTGGTTCCATTCCCAGATTTCCAAGGAATCTCCATATTGCTTTCTATATTGGCTGCACCAATGTGCAGTCCTACCAGCAATGTATGAGTGTACCTTTATCCCCACATCCTCGCCAACTCTTGTTGTTTGTCTTCCTAATAGCTGCCATTCTGACTAGAGTGAGATGATATCTTAGAGTAGTTTTGATTTGTATTTCTCTGATTGTTTTAGATGATGAGCATTTTTTTCTATATTTATTGATTGATTGTATATCCTCTTCTGAGAAGTGTCTGTTCAGGTCTTTGGCCCATTTGTTGATTGGGTTATTTGTTTTTTCGGTGCTTAGCTTTTGAAGTCTTTGTATATGTTGGATTCATACACTTTTATCATATATGTGTGCACTAAATATTTTCTCCCAGCATATAATTGTATTTTTATTCTCTTAATAGTGTCTTTCACAGAGTGAGTTTTTTATTTTAGTGAAGTCCAGCTTACCAATGTCTCTCTTTCATAGATTGCATTTTTGGTGATATTATCTAAAAACCAGCCAACCTGAGATCATGTGGATATTTTTCCCTGTGTTTTCTTCTGGAAATTTTTGTAATTTTGTACTTTATAAGTAGGCCTTTAAGCCAATTTGAGTTAATTTATGAACGAACTGTAAGTTCTCTGCCTAAGTTCTTTTTTCTGCATATGGACATACAGTTTTGCACATTTTTTTCACTAAATGACTTTGTCCAAAATCATCTCAAGTATATCTGAGTGAGGCTATTTCTGAGCTTTTTCTTCTGTTCTTGGTTTTATTCACCCATTTCTTCACCAGTGCCATGCTGTCTCATGCTGCAGCTTTACAGTAAGAGCCGGAGTGGGTGCTGCCTGTCCCCCAGATTTGTTCTTTCCAGTATTGTGCAAGCTGTTCTAGCTTTCTGCCTTTCCACTTATAATAAGGTTTATACCTTAAGAGGATGTTCCCTGACTTTAAAAACTGAAACATAAAATTAAGATGGTTAACTCCCAGCTTTTCAGAATATGATGATTCTTTAATTCTCTTTGCAGATGGTTCTTTGAAACTCTGAAGTATTCTAAATTTTCCAAAGCTAACGTCATCAATGGAATTCTCATGACGGTGGTATTCTTTGTCGTGCGGATAGTAGCAATACCTCCTTTGTATGGCTTCATGCTTGCCGTGTATGGAACAGAACCCTACAGAAGGCTTGGATGTTTAATCCAGTATTCCTGGATTTTTACTTGTATTGTTTTGGATGTGATGAATGTCATGTGGATGATCAAAATTTCAAAAGGGTGCATCAAAGTCATCTCTCTCATGAGACAAGAGAAAGCCAACAATCTTCTTCAGAATGGAAAAGTTGACTAAAGGTGTGCTTTGTCAAACACCTTCATTTAGATAAGCAATCCTCATTACTACCCAGCATTATACCTACTAATAGGATGAAATCTTGGCATGTTCTTGTGCTTTGTTATTAATTATAATTGTTATTCAGGGTTTCAGTGTCATTCTTTTTAACCTTTAGAAAAGAGAAACTAAAATTTAGTTTTCATTCCAAGATTTCCTCTTTTCTTCTGCATTATAAGCATGGTTAAAATCTTAAAGGTTTAAATAAAAATTATAAGTGTGGTGAATTTTTCCAGAAATCTTTTGGCCTGCACTGGTATTTTTCTATGTGGAAAGAGGACTGTGATGATTTGGCACACTTGATGTGTCACCAATTTTGCAGAAAGGATGGGAACTACTTTGAAATCTGTAAATAGCACTCAACATTTTGTTATGCTGCACTCTTCTCATGTCAACACCTATATGGGGGTTAATTTCTAAATTGTTGACATGTTCTTTTCCTAGGTTATTAGAAATGACTTTTTTTCATTTCAGATATACATTCATCTATTAATAATGAAGGATTTTACTCACTTTGGAATATTTCATTAGTTTAATTATTAGAAAATACTTCTGCATTTTACAGTTTTTTAGATGTCACTTTCTTCTATTTTTAGTATTTTATTAAATTATCTCTTATGACAGACATTATAAACCTCCTTAGTGGATAAATTTCTTCTTCTAGAAATGCATGTTGGTACATGACCACTTAGGCTGATAGGAGGAATCATTAAGAAAAAAGTTTTAATATTACTGTTTGTCTGCTTCCCTTGTACTTTTTCTATGAAAAAAATATTTATATTTGCAAAATCTCCCCAAGTTCAGAACCCATCATCACCAATACCAGTTTTATGCAATATGGATTTGTTCTGCCCCTAAAATAATCCTCTTTTTGGTGAAACCAAAACTAAAAAAAAAAAAAAAAATCAGTATTTAGTTTACTCACAATTTATTCTCATGCTTGCTTTGATTTTTTCTTAAAGAGCAGGAGGGAAATAAGGTAATTTAATCCAAGCATTCTGGTTTTCAAAATTATTGTCTTATGTGAAGATAAATGACTATTTTTCTGTGTGTGTGTATATATGTGTGTGTTCACTTTGTTTCTTGCAATCCAAATATAGAATTATATATTTAGTTCTTAATATTTTTATTTATTTTTTGCAAGTACTTGACTTTAATGATTGTTCTTACTTAAAAAAAAAAAAAAAAAAACCGATTTAGTTCAACTAGTGGTGAATACTTGAACTTAATTAAACCCGAACCTAAAGATCTAATCCATTGTTTCTGGGTTTAAAGGATAATGTTTGATTCATTTTCATTGCTCATGTTAGGATGATGAAAGGAGGTTAGCTGAATATCATCAATACTTTTAATTTGACTGTCCAATGCAGATAGAGCCTGATAAGTTCTAGAACTCAAAGACAAATCAAAATCTCAGTCAATAACTAAATGATAAAATAAGGTTGATTGGTACATTTATTTTTTGAAGACAAAGTAATGCAAATTGTAGGTATTTATTTTTAAAGCAGTTAATATTACATTGATAATTGGTTACTAAATTTATTGCTGCCCACATCAGAGGCATTTAAATATGTACTGGTTATCTAGAGGGTGAGGGTGTACAAAACAAGTGATTTTTGTCTTGTCCTTGCTCTTTTGCAAGCAAAGTAGCTTTTTTTTAAAAAGGAAGACATTTATATTGCAAAACTATTTTGGAAATTGTTTCTTTAGAAAGTAAATGTTGAAATAAATATTTTTGACTTTTTGCATATTTCTATAATTCTGAACACAGATTTTAAACCCACCATCAAAGTGACAAAAATATAAAGCTATGTTAGTGAGTCTCCATATAGCAGTTTCAATAGTTGTTTCATGCTTTCAACTTCTTTTTTATTGTCACTGACATTATCTTTCACTGATTGGCAAAGCTACTCATTAAATAATTATATTTAAAATATCAAAGTTTTAAACTAAGGCTTGTTGTTCTCTTAGCAATCCTTAGGTTGGCTACATGACAGTTAATTCAGTATCCATATTTAGTATTCAGAAGTAGTGCTGTACATTTTTACATACAGAATATATGAAATGGAAATGTCACGACAAACTACTAAGCTTCTTTAAGTCAGATCTTTACAGGAGCTATACTTTGCTATTCTGCAGTTGTATCCATCTACCTAAAATATAAATGAAGACAGAACATATCATTTATTAAACAACAAATTTTCATTTGTTAAATGACAAACTTTTGCTAGACATTTTAGATATTTAGTATTTTGGCTACATGGATTAATTTAAATGATTCTATCAGGCATTCTGATATTTAATAACTATTAAAATATTTATAGAAAATAAATGCAAAGTGGTATAAATTTTTAAGCAATTCTATTTTTCTAGAAAATTCGTGACAACCTGTGTTGTATTCTAGAAAACAAAAGTTCTTGTGAAACTTAAAAATGAATGAAAATCAGCTGTTAGCTTGCAAGATTACAGATTCTGCATTAAATGTTTTATTTGTAAGAATTTAAAAATTGTGAACTTGAGTTTATAAGGGTTTGCATTCTTATGCCCAAAATGTTTTTAAGGATTACTTGCATTTATTTTAAAACTCAAAACAAAGTTACATGTGAGTGCAAAGAAATTAACTCAAGCTTAAATTACCCTATAGTATGTTGACATTTCTTATTCTAAGTGTTGTTATTTTATAGACTAATTCTCTGTTAGTGAAATGATAGTTACATTGTTATCATCTCTAAGAGTGACTCATATATTGTGGATGACCCAGTACTGTCTTAAAGATCTGGTTTTTTAAAACTGACTAATTTATAGGTATTTGAATCAAATCCTTAATTTTAAAATTTCTTTGACTTGAATCAGGTTTTTACTAAAGTGACAGTTTTAAACTTTTACACCTTCTCTGAGATGGATTGGAAAATGTTCTTTAAGGTATGAAAGATGTGTTTTACTGTCAGCGGCTCATAATGTTCTTAGAAACATTGTTCTCATGGAGATACATAGGGGAAAGAACTGTTGTAATGTGCATGTTTCTTTTGTTTCATCTTTAAGGAAAATAAACATGTTCCAAAAGACCCTATTAAAATAAATATTTGAATAAATTTCTGTTTCTATGTTGCTCTTAACTCCAAATATGTAAATATACATCTGGATTGGCGTTTAGTGGTTTACTCTGTTGCATGAAATTGAAAGCCCATTTATTTGTTGACATCACCAATTATACGTAATAGAAGCTTATATTTTGGTATATGTTTTGGATTCCATAAGAGCGAATATGTCATTTTATTTGAGGAGTGGCTCAATGTCTTTCAATACGTCAGAGCCAGCACAACAGTAGGACCCTTTCTGTGTGCAGAGACAGGAAGGCACACACACCTCCCAGCCTTAACCACAGCTCACTTGTACTAAAAGCTACTGGAAATGAATTCTGTTTGTATTTTGGTGCTGAGGATTGAATGAAGGGCCTTGTGCATGCCATGCATGCACTCTACAACTGAGCTGTAGCCCCAGCCCTGAAAATGAATTCTGATGCAAAAATATGATAGGAATACAAAAAGCTCACAGGATCTGGAGTTGGAGGGACACTGAGACTGCTTTTCCCTTAAAAGATGAGGGTTCTCCCAGATCCAGAAACTTTTGTGAGTCCTTCTAGCCCATCCATCACTTCCTCCTGATACCCCCAAAACTTCATCAGCACCTCTCTTCCTCATGCTGACACCTTTTTGTGTTCACTTCTGAGACATTCCAGTTCATCTGTAAGCTCCTCAGTCTGCTGGCAAATTTAAAGGTTTACAAATAGGTTCTGTCATTTTAAAAAGCTTTGTAGTAAGTTTAAGTAGAGATCAGACAAACCACAACTTATTAAGAGGCTACAGGAAGCTGTTGAGCATTTAATACCTGTTTATAACACAAAGCAAAGCTAATTATGGTTTTATTAAGAAACATCTGTAATCTCTTTCTTAAACTGGTTTAGCAATAAGTTTTGTAAAGTGTTTCAGCTGGGGATTTATTGTAGGCATGTAATTATGTAAATTTTCTTAGATCCCATGACACAAGGGGATTGTGGAGAACTGACCTAACTCTGTTATGAGGGGGAGATCTGACTTCTAACAGTTTTTAAAGTCCTGCTCTTCCATACAGCAATCTTTGTTATGGTAATATTCACAAAAACAAGTTTACTAGCAAACAGATAACTTGGTGTTTCTTGGAGTACAGCATCCACTGACTTGACATGGACTTGAGCTCTACTTCTTTCTTACCTAGACTTCAAACAGCCTCTACTAGCTTTGATAATAAGTACCCTAACTGGAAGATATTTTGGAATGCAGTGAAATATTGTAGACATCTCTTAAAGGTCTTTTAGAATTTTCTTGTCTCTCTCTCTCTCTCTCTCTTTTTTTTTTTTTTTTTTGCACTGATAATGTTTACACTTACTGAGCATCAGTTTTGATACCAGGCCCTTCATGCAGACCAAAACAATGAGAAATGTTTCTAAATCTCAAATATTTATAAATATGATACCTCTGGCTGAAAAGTTGTTAAACATCATTTGTACATTTTGTCCTTTATATTTTTATGTAATGCTTTCTGCAATTAAATGTGCCTCAGTTATTTGCTACTTGGCTAACAAAACCTAAAAATACAGCTGTAAATAAAGCATGCTGTATGTTTTTTTCTTGCTTGATTTGTTTCTGGTCTGATTATGTCTACTTTTTACTTAAGGAACTTTCATGTGGATAATACTCATAACCAGGATAAATAAGTTATGAGTTTTCTTTGGGTAATTATTAGAATTTGTAATAGTGACATTTAAATAGACTTTATTTGAAAAAGCTACTTGAAAACTGCAGTACATGCAATACCTATAGTGACATATATACAAATTTTTCCTGAAAATATATAATATACAATATTGTCAAAGATTTTTGGAAGTTTCTCAAAATACATTTAACATTTTGTGAATTACATACTTTTTAATTTATTTCCATAAAGTTGAACTTTTATTTATAGAATATAAGA